TTGATGATTGCCTCTCTTTTAAACATCAGGTCAATAATCTGTTTAGAAAGCTAAGGGTGAAGCTAGGTTTCTTTTTCAGAAACAAGTCCTGTTTCTCGCTTGAGGCCAGGAAAAGGCTAGTCACTGTGACCTTTTTACCTGTGCTGGACTATGGTGATTTGATCTATATGAATGCACCTGCCCATTACCTAATCAAGTTAGATGCCGCCTATCACAGTGCACTGAGATTTTAAAGTATTAACTCATCACTGTACCCTGTATGCCAGAGCAGGCTTGCCTTCACTAACTTTACGGAGGCTCAGTCACTGGTACATGTTCATCTACAAAGCCATGTTGGATAAACTACCTTCTTACATCTGCTCTCTGATCTCTCGACGAATTGAAAGTAGCTATCGCCTGAGATCTCATGATGTGGTTTTATTAAATGTGCCAAGTGCTAGGACTGACTTAGGGAAAAAAGCTTTTAGATGCGCAGCTCCACTAACTTGGAACAGTTTGCAAAAGGAATGGAAACTGAGCAATTTGGTTCCACTAAATGTTTTTAAAGCACGGATGGATGCTATCCAATCGGAAACTGTTGGAATCTGTAAATGTCACTAGCTATGTAAACTGTAGTCGCTGTAAATATGCTGTATGATGTCCTTTTTGTTTTTCTGTTGTTTTATGTTTTATATGTATTCATGTGGAACCTACTTGCAGCAGGTCACCCTTGAAAAAGAGATCAATGATCTCAATGGGATTCACCTGCATAAATAAAGGTTTAATGACCGTTTCCCCTCCTGGATTGAGCCAGGAGGATCTATTACTCTGTCAAAGTAAGCCGGGTTTTTAACCTTCTTTTAATGGTATATTGAATTGGTGTTTGAGCTGGCAACTATTATGTTGCGTTTGTTTTTTAAAACGACTACTGTCCTCCAGTGCTTTTTTAGTTTTATTTTCTGTCAATTGTTTTCTTGTGTGCAGATTGTGGGCAATATAATTGACTAAGTGTTTGTGTTACAGGTTCCTCTCCCTCTGTGGGGGAATCTTGTCAGCTCATAGGGACTGCACGGTGTGACACTTTAAAAGGGTGAGTAAACTAACAATCATTTTGTAGAAGTTGTGCTTTGAGTAGTGCATGCTTTTGTTCTGTTTTTGTCCCTCACAGTTAGCAGGCATGTGACCTAGTGGACCAGACCTGCCCATCTGAGGAGGGGAAACCCACAATGTAATAGTGTAAAGTATGTTCACCCTTTTACCCGTTGACAGCTGCTGAACATTGACATTTTAGCATGTATATTTGTGAAATAAAGCTGCATTCTATTTGGTCATGAATGCCTCTGTTATTGTCCTTGTGAAGGGAAGCCCCAACATCTGCAAAACAACTTTGGATTTATATTGAGGGTCCACAGGTTCCTCCATCCCCTTAACAGGAGTTGGTGTTGTCAGCTATTTAAAGGTGACCCCAGCCACAGTTACTACATATGCATCAGAGTGGGTGTTTTCACTGTTGGCCTAATATATTATTGGTCAACTGAACTAAACACAACTATTTTTTTTTTTTAAATCGTTTATTTGACGAGGGACAGTGCACATTGATGAACATTTAAAACAAATAATGCTTTAAAAACGTAAACATGCCGGATTTTAGCTTTGAGCTAGTTTCCATCTGTAGTCCCTCACATACAACACTACACCTTAACATAAGCAAAAACAGACTACCTGCTCACCTGGAGATGTCACACTAAACCTTCTATACATTTTTGACAAGGAGTAAATGATATTAAATCAAATGTTAGCAGTGCTAAACATTGCCAGACCAAAACAAATCCAGAAGATGTTGGTCGGGAGGGATAATGGTCTGTTTTTAAAACGCTTTCTAGCAAGTGAAGACCAAGCTGCCCATCACACTAAAGGTTTGTAAACATTGAATTGAGTCACCATATTACCACAAATAATTCCCAACTTGTGCAAAATGAAGATGAACATTAGGCAACAAAGACAAGAAGCTTGTGTGGATATATCGTATAAAACATAATGTATTCATTTCAGGGGAGACTTATTGCTTTGTGTCTCATGTTTCTTTTCATTCACAACTGATCGTTGCACTGACTTGCTCCTCTGCTGCCCTCCAGTGGCCACAAGGCACAACAGGTACTTTTACATTACAGCATGTAGCTCCAAACCACAAAAGTATTTCCTTCTGAAAATGCACTTGCACTTTACTAAAGCTCTAAACATGGCACATGAACACAAATATAAACTATATACAATGAAATCAGGAATATAGTACAATACGAATGCTCTAATAACAGTGAGCAGAGATGTATTTTGATGTGTGGGCATAATGTACAGGGTAATAGTCAAATGACTGCCACAAGCAGTGGCGACTGGTCATTGGGGGCAGGTGGGGCACAGCCCCACCTAGTGTCAGCAGAAAGTATTACAAATAATGATTACAAAAATGCAAAAAAAAAAAAAAAAAAATATATAAAATATATTTTAAGATCATGTTTAATCATCTGATTCGTCTGTACATTGCTGTTTTAGTCTGTGTTCTTCTAATTAGTGTGTCTACAGTCACAGTGTGTGCCTATTGAGCTGTTTAGAGCCATGTGGGACAAAACCTGATTATGCCCCTTCCTCTCGCTGTGAAGTCAACGGTGACTGTAAAAACTTCACTGCGCATGCTCAGAGTATTTTGTAATGAAATGTGTGTGGCAAAAAAATAATGACCAGAGGGGCATGGAGCTACCATCCCCCACCATACGTCATCTCAAATCATTCAGAGCTGATTGGCTGTAAGTACGTGTGCCGCGAAAAGTGTGCTGTGTGAAGAGGAGACGAGAGAGCTGCAGTGGCGCGTCCTAAAACCAGGAAGTAAGCACAAAAAAGCAATGAGATTTCTCCAGAGGATTTTAGAAAATAGCTCGAAATAAGATCTGTGGGAAACGTACCTGTTAGATAAATGCACGTTTTGATTAGCCGGATAACATCCACATGTCTACCCTACTTATATAATTTTTTTATCATAAATCTATGGATTAGATTTATGATAGACTTTTGAAACTACAAGAACATAAGCAGGACTTTTACAAAAAAGTAATAGAAATGTTTGTCCAGAAGGATAGGAAAATGGACTTCATCTTCAAGTCAAGGTAAGACCGCCATTTTATTGAAAATGGGATCTTACTAAGAGAGAACAATTCAATATTTAAATGATAAAATGACATTTTTTGGGTATCCTTTTGTTGAACTGTCTGTTTAAAATTAATCGAAGCATCAGACAAAAAAAGCTTTTGAAAATAATATTATATTTTGGTTTAGGTCAAAATATAATATTTGTAAACCTGAAGAGTCAGTGCCAGTGCCTCACCAGCCATGAACCTCACTGCACGTCACTGCAGAAGCTTATATATAGACATCTAAGTTTTTTGTGCCCCACCACTTTTGTACATATAAAAACGCCACTGGCCACAAGGCCTTTCTATGACACTGAATAGGAACAGAGCACAGCTCTGATTTAGTACATCTGGCTGACCAACAATTGCTGAAAAGGTTTAACAAAAATAATCTTTAAAATTAGATTATGTTTCTCAAAATAAAGAGAAATGATGTGCCTCATGTCAAAAAAAAAAAAAAAAAATCTGCAAGACAGACTGACTCTTTTGACGTTCTTAATGTTACACCAGCAAAGCCTTGTACCCAGATGCTAAATTACAACCAAGCTACATTTGAAACATTCAGCACTTTTCTATAACTTAGAGGTGCTGTTCAGAAACAGTTAAGGAGACTGGCTTTAAAGGGGAGATGTACTGTCTAAATGTATGAATAATGCATTGTTTCCTTGTTAATAAAGAGAACCATTATGTTGCATAAACACAAACACAAAAAGGACTTTCATACACAGTAAGTGTACATCTGTGTATTCTGGCCAAAGGCACGTTAACAGTAACAGGTGAACAGTGACCTGGTTCAATGAGATGTAATATCTCGGTTGCTAAACCCAAGCTATGCGAGATGCACAAACTCAGTGATAAGAATAATAATGGAAATCATTCCATGTGTGATCAAAACCGTAGTTGGTGTGGAGAGTCTTCATTTCCATCATTGTTGTGCTCTCCTGAACTCTAAGAGACAAAGATAATGAACCCTAAATTGCTCCTGATTGCATGGCGATCAGTGTGAGTGTGAATCTTGTTCTCCCTTAGCTAGTGCATGCACTATATGAATGTGTGTATCCTGCTGTTCAACTTGACTTATGTCAAAGTCATTTGAGGGGTCACGAGAGAGTGGAAAAGTGCTATAAATGCTGCCAATTTACCACACTCTATATCTCCTTTCTTTCCATGATCTTTGAACTTAGCTTTAGCCGGACCGGCTAAAATAACTGGTCGTGCTTTTTACAGCGCCACGGCTTCCACAGATGAAATTTGTTTATGTATCTATTTATTGTCAAAGCATTAATGTATTCATTGCTATCGGGATGTTAAGAGCATTCCATGGAATATAACATAAAGTGTTTCTGTAGCAAATCAATTATTATAAATCAGACCTGTGTTTTGGTCCACTGGTTAATTTAACTCCTATGTTCACTTGAATCTCTTTTTCTAGAAGAGAAGAGATTTCAAATTACTTAAATAACATCTCTGGGTCTATCTGCTAAATGCTGCACTTGACTTAGCTAGCTAGCTCGTCGTTCGTTGCTGGTGCTGACCAGGAAGTGAACACTGGGTTAAAGATTGATTTTTTACAGATAAAAAGCTGGCTGCTGTGGTTAGGAAATGTAACTATAATTGCAGTATTAGTGCCAGCTCAATTGGCCCCACAAAAACGTGTTTGTACGATTATATTGGATTTCCCACATTTAAAAAAAGTCACAGTAACAATGAACATGTGACTTAGCTGTTCCCTCAAAGGATTCTGATACATCTTTGCTATACAATATCGAATACCCTCTTTTATAGTGCTGACTGCTACTTTCACTGAATGTCAAATTACAAGACAAAATCCACACCAACTCACAAAAGTCACAACTTTATTGCACCTTTATAACTAACTATAATGTGGAAAGAGACACTTTCATTATGAAAGGTCTCCTCCATGGTCAGAAAAAGTGGTGCAAAATATAGAACCATCAATGCAAACATGTGGACCGTCCATCCACACTGGTAAATGTTCCTGTGTTAGTTTGAGAGTCACACCCTTTGCCGATTTCACAGCAGACAAACATGTCCTATGGAAATTAGACTGCTGTAGTCTCTTGTACTGTACACACCACAGTGACATAGGGAGGGTCTTGCATGAAGACAGCTCTCACACACGAGCAAACACATTTGCAGATAATTGCTCAAGTTAACGTCCACCCACTGATCTGAGTATTAGTAGCACATAAAAGATCTGTCTTTTCTTCTTTAAATTATATATTTATAACATTAACTCCTATACTTTTTTGATAGCCAATTCAAGGCAACATCTCTAGAATGAGAAGAAATGCATGGGCAAATCTTTACAGCGGTGGGGGGAAACAGGTAGCACAAGATGGACTGTACACGCTTCTACGCTGGCAAAGCATTTTTTATAACGCTAGTTTCTCTACGCATCTGTGCCAGGATTGGTGCAAGATGATCCCATGGTTTCCACACCTGAAATATTTTGTATAAAACAATTTCTACAGGATGTACAAGAAGCAAAATGGTGGTCGTGGATAGGAACTAGTCTAATATGAAATAGGGGAGTCTGATCCGAGATGAAAATGGGATACGGGTTGTCTGGTTTCCTGAGTCTTAGCCCAGTTTCTAGGTGACCAGCATGAGCATCAGAAAATTGCATAGAGATATAAGATACAAGGGGGAAATAAATTATTAGCATGTGGCAATCCCAGTCTAACAAAGTGCCTCAAGTATAAAATGCAACCCCTTTATTTCAGAACATTGGTGAAGAACAGTTTGTGAAAAGTCAAATCTCCACAGAGCTCCTGAACGTTGGACTGATGACGGTTCCTCCCAACAACCCCAACCTACATCCTGCATAACACATTATGAGTTGTCAATAACCAATAAGGTCAAGGTAAACAGAGGCTAATCATCCAACAAGTGGTTCATGAACACAACCACTAACAGTTTAACTGTTAATAGAAATTGACAGAGCATTCTTTTGTGGCCTTAAATGAATCTACATGTAACTCTAAAATAAACAGGATTTGTAAAGGAGAAAAAAAAGAAATTACAAACAAAAACTAACACAACTAAAAACAAAATTTACCTTTGTATATATTTAACATGCATACTAAGAAAATAGTGGCCATTTTAAAGCTTGATTTTACCAACAATATGCAGGCAAAATTTGGTCCTTAAAAACAAGCCACGTGGCACTGACACTGCAGCAAAATAAAATGTCGGCGAACAAAGGTATCAAATAGGTAAATCATACAGAAATCTATAATATATTTTGATATTTGTAATTTAGAATAGAAGAATTTTAGGAGTTTTAAAAATGTCCTACAAACAGAGCTCTTATGTCTGCAAAACTTGGCTCTGAGATTGTGTTCAGTTTCCAATACAAGACAGCCGAAGTGTGGCAGATATACGATCTCATACTACACATAGCAACTATTTGCATGCGTAGAAAAGCTTGATTCAGTATTTTGATTAAAAAGGGGATAAGATTGGTCAACACTGAAGCCAATATTTCAGGTTTGTTTAAAATTGAGATCAAGACTGTCAAAGTAGTCTGTGGTTCTTTCGTGTAATTTGGGTCTCAACACAGGAAAGAGAGATACAAAAATAATAATAAAAATAAAAGAGTGAGTAAAGGTACAGGAGTTTGGTATTCAGTGTTGTCTCAATTTCCAGTCAGCATGAGCCTCAACAGCAATCTGGACTCTCAGCGACGGACTCCAAAAGCTCTCTTCCCGCCGGGTGTGACAGACCACTTGCTCCGCCTTTCCTGGATCTGTTGGAAGATGCTGCTGCCGCCACCTCTCCACTTCTCTCTTTTATAGTTTTTGATTTTCTTCACCTGTTCATTCAGACAAAAAAACAGGAGAAGATGAAGCCAAGATACAGCAAAAGTGGGTCTACGAATTAAATAAAAACCGATTTAAAATTAGAGTATTGTTTTTTTTTGCTCACCTTTCCCCTATCAAAGTCTTCATCCCACTCATCGATCACAGTGTCACACTGGGCTTGGCGGACATCGTCGGCAGCATCTCTACTAATGGCAGAGACATCTCCATCCCAACTAAGGACTAGAGAAGACAAACAAAACATAACATTCATATACAATTCTTTGCAAAGAATTATCAAAGTTTCTTTCATACAGATGATCAGATTAACGTCCTGTGTTTTACCGTTGGCTCCGTAGGCCTTGTCTGTAGAGTTCTTCAGCAGCTCCTCCACCACACCACTTGTCTTTTTGCCGTCCCAGGCTCCAGGAGCAGCAGGGGCCGCAGGGGCCGGGGTGTCTCCTACTTCACCTCCATCAGCCGCTGGCGCCTTGCTGCGTTTGTAGCCGTCCTTCACTTGGCTGTCCCACACCACCACTCTGGCTGGAATTTAGAAAAACAATCCAAAACCAAAGAATTTATTTTGAAATGTCCTGAGTAATGCTCTCAGTGAAATGATTGGTCACATAAATGAGGCAGTTGTGGTGCAGCGATTTTCTGCAAATGGCTGTAATCAATACAGAGGGCTCTAGTACATTCTGTGTTGGCATGGAAACATTATGTAAGTGCATGCTCGCATACCTGTGTTGTTTTGACTAATTTCTCCATTCTCCTTGGTGTTCTCGTTGGAAGGAGGTTCCACTTGTTCAGGCTCATCGTCGTGTCCATTCGAGCAGCGCCTACTCTCCTCCCACAGGCTCACCTCTTCTTTTAGCTTCTTCTTCCTCTTCTTTAATTTCTTTTTCAACATTATCAAATCTGCAGTATTATTCTGTGTGACTGTGGCCTTTGTCTCCGAAGTTCTGTTGGGGGGGAAAAAACAAGTTAAATAAGTTTATTGCTCGCTGGTTGCATTGTGGGAGTTACTACAAATATCTGGTTGTTATAGAAACACAGTTTTGAGCCTCTCCTTTCAAAATTATAAGCTTCAAATTATAAAATATATTTGGAGACAAAAAAAAAAGCATAACTAAACCAATCCTAAAACGTAACCCCACCTCTCTGGTGCGGAGCATGCTGAGGATGTATCCTCCAGAGCCTCCTCCACCTGCAGCTTCTTTTTCTTCTTCTTCTTTTTCAACTTCACAGAGTCTTCTCCCTGGTCTTCCGGATTTGACTCGCAAAGCGTTGGGGTTTTGGTAGCTAACTGAGGTTTTTGTTTGGACTGCTCTGTATCTGGATGGGATGTAAGGCTCCACATACCACCCTGGCACCAGTCCTCTTCCTGGTTGGGTGTGTCCAGGTGAGACAGGACACACTCCCTCTCCTTCGCTTCCTCTCCGTCTTCATGCGCCTTCTTTCGCTTCTTCTTTTTATTCTTGCGCTTCTTCTCGCTGGCTGACTCCACGGGGTCGGCCTGTATCACTTCAGCTGCTGGCTCTGTGTCACCCTCCACCTCAGAATGCCTGCGCTTCTTTTTCCTCTTCTTCTTTTGGTTGACTTTTTGAGCGCTGTTGAGGTCTGGTTCTTGGACCAAGGAGCTGAGGTTGTTGGAAGACTTGGGGCTCTTTGGGCCGGCATTGTGAAGCCCGTTGGTTTTAGGAGAAAGGCTGGCGTTTGGTTTTTGTGGAGTGGAGAGAGGGGACTGTTTCTGAGGGCTCTGCTGTTTGAAGGATCCACTTGAGTGGGCCAAAGGTAAAGACTGGACTATAGGTGAATGGAATGGTACAGCTCTGTGAAGGAAACATTAGAAAACGTCAGGATCAGGGTTCATACACTTTTTTACCAATGATTTTCAATGACTTCTCCATGACCTTTACCTAATTTTCCATTACCAAAAAAATAACTCTCAGCGGTACCACTGAAAATGGTTTATTTTAACATGGAACAGGAAAATAAAGTCTGCATATGAAACATGTTGTGCCTATATAAAGCAAATCCAATAGGCTTACTAGCTTCTTCACGCTAAAGCAACTCAAATCTCTCACCAGCAAAACACCTCGACAGTTAAATGCCATTTTACGTTTCATTACTATACAGTATGTATTATCATTATAGTATTACTATTTTGGCGATTAGCTAAAATATAAATTATATTTGATGCAACTTTAGTTACAGTTCCATGACTTTTCCAAAACTTTGGGAAAAATATTGTTTTCCATAACTTTTCCAGGGCCTGGAATTAGCTTTTTCTTTTCATTTCATTTCATTTCATTTCAATCTTTATTTCGAACAGATTAAAAAAAAAATAACAAATCCTCATTCACGATAATATTTATATATTCAACAAAAAAAGTCTTCATATTAATAATAATAATTAAAAAAATAAATCATATGTGTCCGAAAGAGAGTAGGAGGAAGCAAATGCTTATTAATTCCCACCCCTTACTTGATCAATGATTGTCCTTTAAGTCATTATGCAAGTTATTCCTACTTACATTTATTTTTTTATTTATTTTGAATTTCCATGACTTTTCCAGGTTTTTAATGACCGTAAGAACCCTGCAGGATTTCATCTGCTAATTTTCAGTAAGATGGACATATTTCTTGCGCATTTCCTATAAGATGCGGGGTTCAGAGTTCATACCTGTGAGTGTGGGTAGGTGAGGCAAAGGTGAGGGGGTTAAGTTGATTTTGATGCGTGGGGTCACTGGACAGCTGGCGTGGCAAAGGGGGCAGAGCATCAATGCTGCTCGGTCTCCGGCTGCGAGCCTGCAGTTATCGACATAAATAAAAACTTGGTGGTCTAAAAAAAATAGCCATGAATGTGACAAAAATAAGGAAGAGAATCAAAATAAGGAAGAGGGAGATTAAAGGGATGGCAGGAAGGAAAAGATGGAGGGATGAAAACAAAGAGGAAAGGGTATGGCAGAGAAGAATTAGAAATGGTTAGAAAAAAAGAACAAACTGAAGGAAAAGAAGACAAACTCTAAACACGAGCTATCACGTGGTTGATTAGACAGGCAAACTGGAGAAGAAACACGTCACGTACAGCATACAATAAACTACAAGGGGACAGTTTACTTGCATCTACAAAACTACTTCATGAAATCAATAGTCAAATTATGGATAGCAGTGTTGATTCAGGCAACAGGAAACCAAGGTATCATGAACATTCACTAAGACAGGAAGTGATGCTGTGGCTGTGGATGGGAATGAAGTTCACCTTCTTGGCTGACAGGGCCAGTTTCTTGGCAGGTGGAGGTGACATGGTGGCTTCAGACGTGATGTTGTTGAGGGCCGGGGGTTTTATTTTAGCCGTCTTCTGCTCCTCTGTGCTCTGAGAGCGCTCCACGCTCTTGGCTGGAGAGGCCAGGCTGAGGGAGCCCTTCCGCGGGGTGGAGGGGGTCTCTCCGACAGGCGCACTTCTGGTCCCCACCGAGTCCTGCCCGGGACAAAGGCAACCATAGGCTGTGGTTATGCTTCTGTGCAGCTACACATGGTCTTAAATGGATTCTATACATCCCTTTGAATCTCCATATTAAGAATATGTTGTAGTGTCCGAGCCATTTTACACATTTGTATTCATCCAAATTCAGCTTAGCAGTATGCATTGTGTGTTCAGGAGATAAGACTTTTAAATTATAGGCCACTACATGATGTTGTGCCACTACTTGATGTTGTGCCACTACATGATGTTGTGCCACTACTTGATGTTGTGCGTACATGTATTTTTGCTATAAGTATAACATTTGCACTCAAGCTTAAAGAAAAATGAAAAGGTAAATAAACAAAAAAGAATATAGAAAAAGAACTGCCCTAGTTTTATGTTATCATATACTGAATATCTTTGGGTTGTTGAACATTTTCAAATTATTTGGAAAAAACAAACAATTTTAAGACTTAATCTGTGGTTTAAAGGAAATGTGATGGACATTTTTCACAACTAATCACTACTCAGGAAACTGTCTTAAATAGCTTGTATACATACCACTGATTAACATCTTACCCCACCCTACAAATACTCCTTGGCGATCCTGCCTTTGAACTAAAATGTGTTTTTCTTTCCTGTGCAAATATTACCTTGGAGTCCGATGTGTCGGCAGAGGAGGAGTCAGACAAAGACTTGAATGAGGTAGACGCTGACATGCCTCTGCCCTCGCCGCCCTGCTTCTTGTCTCCCTCCGTCCTGCTGACCCCGTTGGAAGGGGTGGGGGTGCCGCTGCGAGACGGCCCCTGGCTCTGGGGGGACGGCTTCTTTAGCTTCTTGAATGGCTCGTCGATAAACGTGGGTCCACCTGGCAGCTTTGATGTGCCGTTGGACACCCAGTTGGAGAGTCTGGGCACTGGCTGAGAGCCCACACCATTCCTGGAAATGGGGAGGCCCAAACCACCGTCCATGGACTGGATCTTACGCAGTTGTGCAGGCTCAAGTTTCTGAAAAGGGGTGTAATGTGTTTAGAAGTGGTATTTAACAGCTGCAGCCCATAACAATTCCATACACCAGCTAAAGACACATCTTTTTAGATTTGCTTTTTATTAGCAACCCCCCACTTTAAATGTTCTTTTAGTCTTTATTATTTACCTACCTTTATATTGTTTTATAGGTCTTAATCTCTTTATTTTTATTGTACCTATATGTTCACTTTGTTTAAATGGGGTTTTATATTTTATATTGTTGCATCTACTCAGTTGTCTTGTGTCTTATCCGTCAGAGAGAAACCATTATTTATTTTATTTTATTATCATACATTTTACCTCCTTGTGTCTATTAACCTGATAAAGTGTTATATTTTGCTGCATTTACCTTTAAAAGGGAATTTCCTGTTGTTTTGTAAAGCACTTTGAGCTGCATGTGTTGTACTGTATGAAATGTGCTATATAAATAAAGCTTTATTATTATTATTATTATATGTCCAACAGTGAGCTGGATGTAATCTAGCCTCTTACCTTAGTGATCTGCGGGGAGGAGAGAGGCCCGTTCAGATTGGCCCTCTTAATCTGCTCAGACGACACACTGTTCTTCCCAGGATGCAACATGCCCTGCTTGGTACTCTGTCCATCTGCATTCTTCTTTGTTTCAGGGATCCTTTAATGTACAAATAAAGACTCCGGTTTATTTAATGATATAACCAGACAACAGCTTGTTTGATCTCTTGCAGCCCTCTACATCGTCTTACCTCAGGTAGAAAAGCACGTAGGCCTGTTGGTTCAACACCACCTTGATGTTACTAGAGTGCGCCATTGAATCATTCATTTGGTACCATTGCCCGTTGCTTGCCTAGGAGTAAATAAGAAAAAGGTATTCCTTTAAAATAAAGCAGGCTTTGAAATGTTTTAATTTAATCTTTTTAAGTCAAACCATTTAAAAAGTTGAGAAACACAGGAAGCAGAACACAGGCTCGGTGAAATCAGTTAGTTTCCTTTGAGATCAGATTAGAATTTGAATGCACAACACGGATACAAATCAATAGACACGATATATACGATGAAACAATGAGAATTTGTAACCTGTCAAATTTCCCAATACAGTTTATAGCGAGGTTGTTTTCTTTGTCATTGATGTACAATAAAAGGAAAAGAAAGACTGTTTTGTGGCAATACTGGACATGTATACTGCGATTTAGAGATTTTCCAGGTAACTTGTGGGATTATTCAAAAGCAGATTGCTTATATCAACTGTTTATCAATTGAATTACCCAGAAATATATTATATTTTGTTGTATATTGATAATTATGTGTAACATATATGATATAAAACAACATATACCATGATAGAAGATTCTTTTGAGCTATAATTAAAAAAAAAAAGTTTAGGTACAAAGTTATGCAACTGAAGTCATACAATATTGGAAACAAATGCTTATGTAACAACTTATTGTTACTGCTGATAAGTGTAATTCAAAGCAGTTACAAAAAAAAGTTTTTAATTCTTAGAAATTAAATGTAGCTACTTACTACTTCTATGCTTTATCCTATATGTTTTTGTATCATTCCTTCCGGTATGATGTTAGAACATTTTTAGTAATTTGATGGTTAATATGTTTAATTTGATACTTAAAAAGACTCTTTTAAGACAGTTTGCCTTTATTGTGTTCATTTCGTAATTTTTATTTTATTTTTTTTTATTTTTTTAAAATCATCCTCAGATTTGGACTATCTTTTATTTATTTATTTTGTTTAAAGATTGTGCCTCTGCCCAGCTTACCTTGACATAGCAGTAGTAGTGGCCAGCGTGACAACTGTAGCCGGAGTGCACCAGCACCGCGTAGAGGCCGTACATCACAGGGTCGCCTGAGCTCTGAGACATGTAGGGGCGGATGTTCAGGAACTCTGGGTACCCAACATCCTGGGAGGGGAAACCAAAAACAGAAATATGAGATCACTGAGAAATGAAAAACAGCCATTTTGAAAACAGCCAATAGTGTGAAAATTCACCTTTGTTATTTTCCCGCCGCTGAAGTTGGCAAACCTCTTCAGAGAAACGGTCAACACGTTAGATGGTCGATGGATTGTGAAGCGCTTGGTCGCCGGAACCTTCTTTTTGCACCTGGAGAGAAACAATGAAAGTCATGACTCAGAAAGGTTATATGATAAATTATATATATATATATATATATATGATATCGTTTTACTAACTTCTGCAGAATCCATAAGGGCACTTACTTAGCACACATGTATGCATTCTCTCCACATAGTACGTCTGGTTTAACAAACAGTTCAAGGGCACGAACAATGTTTGCTGCTTGCTGAAAAAAATAACCCACAGAGATACACAGTGTTAAAGAGTGAAGTTTATACAATTAAGAAATAATATTTCCGTGGAAATAAAGGTTAAATAATAATATCTTGTTTACCATACCCGAATCTCTACAGCGATGTCCAGGTAAGGGTCATACGTGTCGGACACACTTTTACAAATAGAGCATTTCACTGAAAGACAATTAAAAAACAAATGACTATTAGGGTCGGTTCAGAAGAAATCAATGTTAATACTATTAATATTTCACTAATAATTAAATTTCAAGTACTGTATATCCTACAATTTAACATGTTGCTGCCTAATTGCTGATACATTTCCATATTTTACAAACTAATGTATAAACTGAAAATCCCTAATTATTGGGAGGGAATTCGATACAAAATATTGAATATCTGAAAATTGGAGAGTTGAGACATGCTGCTTAACTTATACTTTAACATTTCTAATGCAGACTATGAAAGGAAATATACTAGTCCTTATGCAAACAGCATTCTTTGAAAGTGTAACTACACATTAAGTCAGTCTATTTAATATGTTGCTGATGTGATTTCTTAAAAAAAGTAAGAATACTTGTAATCTTATTTTGCTCCGTCAGTAGGTTAAAAAAGAAAAAAAGAATCTTAACTTTTATTACCACCAATTGTTTGGTTTAGAAATATGGGTGCATTAATATTGTTAAAAAACATCTTTACGTTTTTCGTACAAACCACAGTCTGCCTTTGACTTTGGATCAGCATGTGTTGACTCAGCATAAAGAGAATTGAACTACATCAAGCAGTTTGAGCATTATAGATTTAGTTGACATGTCTTTAGTCAGCTGGGTGATGAATCAATACACAAAACAGAAGAATCAAACGTCAAATTAATAATGAGTAAACGGCTCTATAGGCGATATTTGTTGCCTTTATTCTTTGAAAAAAAAAGCCAATACCTCTTGATCTGAGGTAACCTCCAAAGATCTGGTGGACCAGGGTTGTGGCCTGGGTCTGCCTGTCGAGCCTAAAGACAGGAAGAGAAACTGTTCAGAACTACTTTCATCACATTGCTGCTGTTTAGCGAAGGTAGCAGACACTCCACAGTGAGCTTTGCTACCGGGTCTAGCTTCACAAAGAGGCCCAGTAAAACATACACACTTGTAACACTTTAAAGAAATAATTGTAAAGCCTTACTTGGGGTAGCCATTGAGACAGGCTTTCTGCATGGCGTCGATGGTGTACCGCAAAAATTCATGAGCATCCTCTTGGCTTCCAAAGCGAAAATGTCTGGCAATTTCTGTGGGAGACAAAAGAAAATGTAAGCTTTGTGCTAATGAAAGTTTTCCAACCCTGAATGCATTAACAAAATGAGGACAATTAATCAAGTTTTAGCCACATCACTTCCTGAAAAGGGAGAATTTAGAGTAGATGTTGCAATATCTTCAACGGGCAAGTAATCACCACTGCTTTAGGCGTATTAACCGTTGCTTTACTTTAAATAAAAGCTGAGCCGAGTGCACATAAGTGTTCATTGCATAAATCTTAAATATGTATGGCCTACATTTGTCATACAATTCACAGACATGACACCAGCAGAGCAGCTAGAGGAAACATCAACAATCTTTAAGTCAGCCAACATAGTCTAAAAATAAGTTTCTGCAAAACAACAAAGGGGCTTAATAAATGATGAGCTGTAATTCATAACTTCCTGTCAGTATTAAAAGGATGCAAAAGGCGCACACAAGCTTGTGTTGCTTTTTAAATGATGGCCACTAGACGGCCATTATTTCTATAACAGTTTACATTTTTAATTCACGATATTTACGCGAAGTGGTGAAGCAAATTATAGAGTAGTAAGCAATGTAGATTATTTATTTAACATGTTATAAAGCTTAGAGTACACTCTACTGACAGTTACTATAACAAAGGTTAGTTCCTTATGCATCTCAGACCTGCAGTAAAATGACCGTGACCTCATAAGCAGCTTACGACCTCAGCAGACTGACATCTCATCTAAAAGCCTCACATTAGAGATAATGTACTGTTATTTCCTAATGGAAAAGGGCCTTCAGAATGATGTGGTCATCACCACATTCCTGGCATAGCATCGCTGTGCATTTATGGCATTGAGTCACCCCTGAGTGGGAAAGAGGAATAAGACACCATGCTCTAATGACCCGTTCAGGGCGATGCTCATAGAGGGGGGAAACAACATCTAGAATATATAGGCATATGATTAGCTGGTTATGGTTTTATTCAGTTTGAGAGGCAGTAACTGAGATTCTGGGGTGCTTTCAGTATCAGTTGCAGTAAGCTCTTTTGATTTTAGCATGATGACATTGCACTGTATTTGTATTTTTTGTTGGGGGGGGGGGGGGGGGGGGGGGTTCGTGCAGAGCAGGGGGCACAGATGTGGAAATTTCCCTGTATGCATTTACATTGTTCTAGCTGTAAAGGGATGGCCACCAGCTAGATGCATGTGAAAGGGAGACCATGAAAACACAGAGTACATCTCAGAGTTCTGTTTAAAAAGGAGTGAAAATGGTGGACTGCACATTTTTGTGCTAAAGCTGCTCCTCTCAGCCTGCAGTCACAAGGAGACAGAGAGGGCATTGGGGAGGGAGGGGGTGACGGGGGAGGGAGAGGTGGAAAAAGAGGCGCAGGAGGTGGAGACATGATTGCAGCAGCACATAAGGAAGTAGCAGGCAGGTAGGGAGGGAGGCAGGCTTTTGTGAGACAGCAGCACAGCACCTCACCATGTCAAGGTGCAACTCACACCTCATCTCTTCTCTACATGGTGTTCATTCACAGCCGGCACTCTCACCGCTCTGCACTGCAGTGACTGGCTGTCACATGGGACGCTGTGGCCAGTGTTGCGTCACCTCACCTCGAGCAGTTTTAAACAGGAATTCAGGTGTCACTCCTGACCTACATTGATCCTAGCGAGCTCAGAAACAACCACAGGGTGTTGACGGAAGCTGGGGGTTTACTTACTTTTCAGGTCTCTGATGAAGGAGACAGGCTTGATGGCATTGCCTGTGTTGGCAAAGGCTTGAATGATATGGTTCTGCATTATACAGATCATACAAAAGCCTGGCTGGTGACCTAAAACAAAGATAGAAACAATGAAAATCAGAGTCACTCACAAAAGTACAGGAATGTGTTATGTGAGGTCTTTATCAAGGTGGTTGATACACATATGGGCTCATTCAATTGTCAAGTTTTACAAGCTTTATTTTGTATGTTAATGCCTTAGTCACCTGTAATAGCAAAACATTAAGTCTGAAGTCAGTAATTCATAGTCCGCTGAATGTTTCACCGCAAGAATTAAACTTGTGGGCTTAAATATAATAGTAGGAAAGCTGGGAGATTGGCAGAATGAAAGAGAATGACTCAAATACTCACAGGCACGGCTGTGCTCCTTTGAGAGTAAGTAGTTGGCAAGTGGCGGGGTGTAGGTGAGACACTGCACTGTGGAGTTGAGGAAGCAGGTGTTTCCCAGGTTGTGGAGACCGGCTCCCACCCTGTACACACGCTCCCATTTAAGGGTGAGCTTACTCCCTGGAAAGAGCATCTTCTGTGGGGCAGAGATCCCATCGCTCTGGCCCCCACCTGAGTTCTCTGAGACTGAAGAAGAAGTGCAGTCAATGCGGTGTCATTTTCTTTTGTGTTCACTTTTAAAGCCAAAAAGTGAATATGCAAAAAGGTCAAACTATCTAAATGTTAGAGTTCAATTGGATAGCTTACCTTGCCTCTTTATCGAGGCCGGCTCTGAGGCCTTCTGGCCCGTAGCGCCCTCGTTCCGGGGATTGAGGATAACATACTTGTTCTTCAGGCTGTCCAGTTGATATGAGAAACCCTTGCTGGCAGGCTCAAACTCGATCTTCTGCAAGAGGACCTTCTTGGCAGAAGAGGCCAACAGTTTGTTGAGGTCCCCCTCATCCCCCGTCTCCTTTCGACCAGGCTTTAACGCCTCTTTGAGTTTATCCACTATCGGCATTGTTGGAACATCACTGCAGAGAAAGTTGGATGTCATAAATTGTTCACAAAATCACTTCAATAGGCCCACATAAAACGACACAAAATGAATAACACTCATTTCCTATAGGGATCAATCAAACGTCTTATTGGATCTACATCAAAGCACCTCACAGCACCTTGATTGTCTTTTACATTGTCAATGTGTTGGGACTTTAAACTGTCATTATGGGAGTGTTAATGGCCCTTTGAGCTGAACAGGACCTTAAGTAAACCTTCAGCTGAGCAAATAAATGTTGAATTTATCTCTCAGATAATCACGTAAGTGCCCAATAACACACTCTCCAGGCCACATATCCTGACGTAGCTCCACAACAAATATAAGGACTGAATGCATCTGAGAAGCCAGCTGGGTCTTGGCAGCTGTCCCCACAGTTATGCAACACAGCAGACGTTGGTACGGAGGGTGGCGGAGAGTGTATGGGAAGGGAGAGGACAAGCATGAGAGCACAAGCATGAGAGCACATGAGGTGTAAACAGTTGCTGTTAGCTGCCCTTTATCAAGCCTGCATCAATGCTTTATTGTTATCTTCCACCAATTGGCATGTTTTCTTCAGTAAATCTGCAAATCATGGAGACTATCAATCATATGATAAAGAACATTTGCATTCGTCTTATATTTCAGGGGTAATAAAAAATACTGTCTGCAAGACACAGCTCAGTGATTGACTACTGGAGTGTTAAAAAGGCAGCAGGCTGGCAAAATATGTTTAGTGCTGACCGAGGGGCATTCAGTATCCTCCTGCTCCAAACACAACAAATCCTCCTTCAGAAGGGAAAGCATTACATCATGTTACAGTTCGACACTAACACCAAAGGCATGGAGCATCACGATCATCGTGCTCATCAGAGTGGGCATTGACGTCATAAAGAGGGAAGGAGGGCTGAACATGCATTGTATGCACAAGGGCACACTGACCTTCACGTGCGGGTGATACTGATACAACTAAAAAACGTCAAAGCCCACAGGGACTCGACTACCTGCAGCGATGCAACTGCAAGACCAGGCGGCAGTGTAGATGCACTGACCACAACACAGGTGTTTAAGGTGGCAGAATATGTTTTTGTTTCATCACACTGCACCATTCAATTGGTCAGTTAGTTCGACACTGTCTAGTGGCAACCCGGTGCCTGGACCGACCACTTAATCCACATGTGAATACTGCCACCAATAATGATGCCAAAGCCCCATATGTACCAACAATACTGACAAGGGTTCTTCATTCAATACTCTCTACTTACACTATTTCAAGCAACTGCAGTGTATTTAAGATACAATTCCTTAATATGACCATGGAAACAAGTGGCCTCTAATGACTTATATACTGGCTATAAAAAAATATACCTGCTTGTCTTATATTTAAGAAGCACTTCTCATACTGACATGCATAGAGACATCATTGGAGTTGTCAATATTTTTTAACCGGATGAAATACATTAGTAATGCAATCACAGGGCAAATAACAGCAAAACATATATTTTTTTCTAGGTTTCTGAAAGCACACACTAGTGCATTATATTAGGACCAACACATACAAAAGATTAGAACAATTTAAATCAACAAAGTGGCCTTCACGTGACCAACACGACTGCCTGAATTGTTTCGAAATGTTTATTTTAGGGAAACTTTTATAGAGCTTAAATCAATTTCAATCTCTGAACAGTGCGATAATATGGCAAAAATCTATTTAGTTACAGCGGCATTTGAAAAATTGTAATTAAAGTTAAAATGTTTAGTCAAATACTTTATTAGATTATCAACTCAACGACGAGAATGCTGGTTCAAACTTCTCAAATAGTAGGAAAATGTGTTTCAAAATTGTTGCCACATGAAAACAAACATCAAATTAAAATTGACTTAATACTGATGTCAACATGTTCAATTATGTTATAGTAGGTCATAGAGAAGTTCACCTGGATAACTAATATGTAATTACTTCAATTGCTCCTGTCACGACTGATAAAAGCACATGTAAATAACTCAATTACACATGTGCACGTTTTAAGATGCACCATTTGCACATATTTAGACAGTACTGTTACGGTTATTGTATTAAAAGAAAGGTAATATTTTTTTTCGTCCGGTTATTTCATTATGCCAATAGTGTTGCTGACAAGAATAAAGCTGCTGGACATGTTCATGTTTAAATGAAAAAACTATTTATAGTAACCACTAAGCACCTCAAATCACACTAACCCACTCGTGGACGTAATGCGAACGAGGGATTTTTTTATCGAGCACCTGAAGGCAGCACAGCTACTGCTGTCACTTCTGAAATCCCTTCATTATTATAGCTACATTTGACAGCTACCTAACTGTCTGACTTTTCAGTTCTTCTGGTTCGTCATTATCGTTATTGCCTCCACTAACCGGGCAGCCTCAGTACTCCAGCTGAAGTCAACTCATCATAGCCTAAATGCTAAGTTGCTAACATCGACCACAGCTAATGGTAATTCCGACCTAAACAGTCTTAAGTTAAGACAACCCGTCGTCGTTACTTCGATATATAACTATGTGATTCTATGTTTAAGTATTGGTCATTTCTAACTGCCTGCTTTATCGTCTTCTGCCTATTTACTTTAGAGTAGCAGCAGCAAATTAGCCAGCAAGCTAACTTAACGTGGCGAGAGCCTCCCTCAATGTGGGTTAGCATCTCAGCGTCCAGGTGGCTAACAATACCCAACAACCAGACAGCGTGTTAATCTTAGTCATAACGGAAAAATATGATAACCCATATTACGGTTTTCTAAAGGGCGATGGTTTACTTACCTTTCAGTTCAATCGTCCAAAATTGTTAACAGTAGAGCGGTCTGCTTCCTCGGCTGTAGCTTTTTGGTCTGGTATTTTCGCCCATGCTGCATTATCAGAGGGCGGCAACAACAATGATTGACAGGGATGAAAGGCCAATGGGAGAATAGGTCATACCGTAGCTGAAAGGCTCAGCCAATCAGCGCTTAAACTGACGCAGAGATGTAGGGAGAAAACCACACGTGACTTCCAGTCACCGCTGTTTACCATTGATGCTATCGGCGCGATAGATATTACAAATGATAATGTAATGTAACAACAAAGAGCGGTTAAACATCCCTCGATTGTATGCTGCAGTGACGTTGGTCTCGAATCACTGAAGCTGCCTCTCGAATACATTAAAATCCCACCAGGATAGAAATCGTATCCCTTGTGTCAATTTCCCTATTGCTACATGGTTTGACCACATATTTAATTGTCGTAAAATTCAATATTCATCATTCAAAATATTTCATCACGGTACACAGATTTGTAATGTAACGAATATATCCAACCCTAACCGTGTTATATTAATGTCTTATACATACAAGTGTATTATATCATCCAGATAAATAGCTTCTCATTGTGCACAGGCTCGTGAAGGAATGTCTGTGAATGTCACATTTGGTCTTCTCCACTAAGCGGCAGCAGATTGCTGTTAAAATGTCGGAAATCAGTTCCTGGTAGCCTACTGTAACTACTGTCCCTGTCCCGTATGTAGATACTGATTTGGGTAAACGAAATAAATACGAAATGTCACTAAGTTCATTATACCGTTTTTTTTCTGTTTCCTGCTGTAGGACTTGTGCCTGCCTAGAATAAATGTGAATTCCTGTTTTCTCAGCAGTGTGTCCATTCAAACTAAAATTATGAAATAGCTTTTTTCTGTCATTTGAAACTAAATATGTGAGTATGTGAATGTCCAGAAATAACATAATCTTAATTGGTTTTGATAAATGATGAATGCAGGAGTTATGTGAAAATGGATACATAACCCATTGATGTGTAAATAACCAAGACATAGCAGCAAAACAGGGTTTGGCATTTAATATAATAGTCAAATTGTACAGCATTGTTTCAGCTGGACATGCATGCAAAAATCATCTCAAACGCCTTATGTGAAACCAGCACAAGACATCATAGTGACTACAGTTACAAATAATCTTTTTACATTCATATTAACTATGACATTTGCTCAACACTTTAAAAGTCATAACAAAGGCTCTGAAAGAAATGGATGTTTGGTTACCGTATGTTTTTTAACCCAATGTCCCAAAAGATGAGCCAGTCATAGTTAACATTGAGGCAACATTTTTTTATTTGAATGCACATTAAAATGTGTTTGATTGCTAATACTGGTAAAATGTTTGTTCCCCTTTTTACACAATACTAAAAGTCACATCAAAATATCGGGGTCTTTTCAAACATAATATGATGAATCATAAACACTTTTTAAATAAAATATGCTTGTTCACTAAAGCATTACACAGAGAAAAGCTGTTAAAAAACACAAAATAAAGGATTCAATCCTCTTCTTGGACATTTTTCAGTAGAGACAATATCACTGTTGTTTTTGTTAATCAATTGTGTTTACAGTGCATTCTTTTTTATTCAGGATTAATTAAAGACAACATTTAGCTAAATCACTGATTGTACTTGCTCTATAAAGCTTTGCCACACTGTAAAATGAAAGAACTATACTGCACTCTGCATAAGAAATGACCTGAACCAGGACAGGCAAAAGGTGGCTCTCCTTCCTTGATGTAGCTCTGCTCTCACAAGTCAGGGCGCCATTTGCCAGCTACTGTTATTTATGAGCACACTAATTCACATATTTGTTATAATTTGAATGTATGTATGTACGCTATGAATTATAGATCACTTTAAACAAAAACATTGGTTACAAAAATGGCAAATTAATTCCTGAAGAACTAAAATGCTATGAACATTTATACTGATTTGTGATGATTAATCCCTTTGATAATTATTTCAGCTGACGGAGAAGTGGATTATGAGGAAGTGCTTTTGATTTAGGGGTAGAAGTGTCTGAAAGTGCTGCATTTTAAGACTGTTGAATAAGACCTGTACATGAAAGAAAACAACCTTACCATAGAGCACACACACCCAATGGCTTTTTAAGAAGAAAAAACTAAATAGGAATTTTACTTGGGTATGTATTTGTATTTTGGTATTTGAATTTTAGTTAATCTCAGAAATCCTCACACTATCTGTCAGTGGGGGAATTAAGGGTCTTCGATGTCCATGAACTCCTTTTTGGGCGGTGCTGACCCTCTGTACCAGGCACAAGAGTCATCACTCCTCTTGATACAAGCAAAGTGTTTGGCCTGCCCTCCGTAGACCTTCTTCTGAATCAGCCAGTCCGTCCACAGGCACTCGGCTGGGCTGCTGACCATGCAGGGGATGGAGGTGCAGCGGGTGATCTGAGGATCAGGAAAGAAACCAAGATCAGGGATTACATTTACAACTCTTGCAACTATGCATTTTTAAAAGATTATTTTAGTTTGGGGTCATTTCCCACCTTGCATCCACAGCCCATTTCATAGCGCTGAGTCAGGCTCTTCTTCTGGGTTTCACTCAGTTCGTCCCAGGGCTCAATGAAGTCACACAGTGTGATATGCATCGTCCCATCATCTTTTAGTTTGCCTGGGAGAGGGAAAAGAGCATTAGATGACATAAAACAAAGACTCTTCAAAGAACAATATTTGTTATATTTTATAATGTGGGATTTGGAATTTGGTAAAAGTTGTACCTGTGATGAGATACTCCTTGCCATTTTTCTCCAGAGTCACTCCACACACTGCAGAAGTGGGAGCGGTGTATATGGCGTCAATATCATCGCTGGGACCTTTGAACATCTGACAATTCAAACAAAGCAAAGTCAATTAAGATTCATTAAGGAAAAGGTTTAGACCCCAACATGAATATGATAGCTTTAATTTCACATACCTTGATTTGTTTGATGTCATACTTGATACGCTTGATGGGGTTTCCATAGATGTCATTGCCAGCATCAACCTCCTGCACTCCAACTACCTTTCCCCTCATAACTGCAAAAGAGACAAACACAACCCACATTTAAATTTGAAGACAAGAGTTTAAAAGTCAAACACCATTATCATGTTAAAACGGAACAAGATCTGAGTCCGTCTGTATCTGATCCAAGCCCTGTCCAGGTTTGGCATGCTAAAGACAGCCACAACTCTTTGCTGTGGCTTGGATCTGAGCATTTTGCATGTGCCAGGTGCTGGGAAGACAGAAGCAACATGAGTGTTTCATCAGCTGCAATCAGAGGGAGGAATGTGTGCTGCCTGCTCCCAGGCCGACGCAGGAGGAAGCCAGTCAGCAGTCTTTGAAAATCTGAACTAGAATGCTCTCCTTCGCCCCCAGGCCTCTCTGCCGGGCCTGCCTCTCTGTCTGGATTGAGGTGCTGACATGCAAATCAGCCCCTCTTCTTTTCGTGTCAAACCTTTCCTTTCCTCTCCCTCTCTCTCTTGCACTCTGAAGTTTCAGCTCCCTGATTCAGTGAGGTTTCGACGGTAGAAAAAAATAGAACAGTTCAAGTGGAAAAACACCATCAAAGCCTTACGAACGAGCCTTCGAGCTGAGTATTAAACACAAAGATATGTTTCACAATAACTGCTTGTGTCATGTGAATCCAATTGTGAATATGCAATGATTACTGCCTTCACTATACTATGCTTACAATATCATATTCAAAAGTCAAGCTTTTAAGCGGACTAGCGATAAAGTTAATGTCTAACAGATGTTCTCTCGGAAGTCTCAGTTCAAGTTGTGTCTTTCTCAAGGTGGAAGCTACCGACTGCCTCAGACCATCACCAGCCCTCTGCCTTACCAAACAAGATCAAGCCTTTTCACTTGCTTTTTATATGATGGATGTATGAAACTGCAAGCCATATGTGCCCTAATTCTTTGACAGTAGAGTTGTAGAGAACATCTCCTTTTAAGGTTCTAGTGAGTCAACCCTAAAAAACAAAGAAAAAAAACAGGGGAAAAGGAAAGTTTGTGAAAGCACGATGTGAAGAGGATGGTTATATTCTCAAGGCAGAGGAACAGAGGAGAGCACAGACAGGAATAGCAGTCACACAGCAGAGGTAGATAGTGTATTTTCGAGAAGCCTTTCAAAGCAATACTGTCACAAACCTACAAGTAGTCAGGGAGAAGAGGTAAAGGGCATTAAAAAGGAGAAAGGGAGGATTTAGTTTTAAAACAGGAACATTGCTAATTTCATGTGTGCAGCAGAAGTCACAGACAAACAAAGCTGCACACACTACAGGAATCATTTATAATGGTAAACTGCACCAAGTGATAATCTACACAAGTGAAGATGGCTTTGGTTAACAAATCACAAATTGAGCAAGTGTGAAAATATGCACAGTTTGCAAAAAACGGTGAATTATTGGGTTTATGTGAACATGAGTAATTTGAGGACAGTTTTGTGAGGGTGAGGGTTATCCCTTTAAATGCTTAAATAGAGAAATTATTTTTCTTCCATTCATTATTTTCAGAACATCCACATTCCAGCTTTTTTTTTGTCCAAAAAGAGTTCAAATGTACAAACACATTAAAACATGTCTTGAGGTGGTATAGTGTGCGTTTAACTCCTGAAGCTTAGACTTGATATCCTGTGCTGATATGCAGTGTATAACTAATTCCAGCAGGACATGATTGTGTTCACTTGTACAGGCTGACCAAGCCCTATACACAACATACATTTCATGAAACTGGGGACCAAGGGAACCATCTCATTTGCTATTACTAAATAATAAACACAATATTGTGTAGGCAGCATTGTGGTCATTGGAGTTCTTGACAACACAAAGAGGGAAGGATAAGAAAGCATTGGCATGTCATGTAATTGCAGGGCCTGTACATCTGTGCTCCTTTCTGCGAAGCCGCAAAGTGGGAAGACTTTGAATGACAAATACTAAACTACACATTCAAACGATTCCTCTGCTTAATCCAACCTTATTATTATTATTATTTATTACTACATTTTAATGTTTTTTTGCACATTGAACAGGTGAGTACTGTGGTATTGTGTATGTGCTTTATAACATTAAATGAACCTGCCTGACCGATCGATGTAATGCATTAAAACCAGAGATGCTGGAGTAGACAGCAGCTGGTGTGAGAGCATGCACATATTCTATCTGTTTAGTTTTGTCTTTCTTTCATTTCTAAAAAGATTAGCTCTCTTTTCACATAAGGGACTCAGGTACACTTAACAATCACAGAGAAAATGTGGAATAAACTGCAAATCCATAATGAGCGCAGCATATGACCGCACAGCATTCCTCTGCCTCAGCCAAGGACCCAAGGGATGGATTTCCATTTATGAGGAAATATTTTTTTGTTCCTGCTCTGTCTGTTTTACAAGACAAATGGAAATACATGTTTACAACCATAGCTGACCTGCTGGTATTTTGTTTTTGAGAGGGAAAAAACATAGGGTCTAGTAAAACACTGAACGCTGAGGTCTATTAGGAGCAGTGGTGGAAACTAACCCATTAAGATTAATTATTGTACTTGTATGTTTCATTAGGAATTATAATCTGAATGTTGCCTTCCAAAACAAAAATACTGTATGAAGTACAACAGAGCATCTTCAAACTGAAGTTGCAAGAGACCTTAATGTTGCAATGGTTGCATACGAATTAGTCATTTATGAACACGTTGATTTTTCTTCCCTATTATTAAGGGTTTCACTGTAACTTAGATTGCAAGAAGCTCATGTTCTTGAGTAGTTTTCCATAGACTCCCAGAAATAGTCTATTTAACTAAAGTAATATTTATTACATAAGACAATTGTCTGACAGTATAGGTAGGGGGTTCTCAAGACAATATCTTACTACTAACAATGTTTTCATCCAAATAACTTTGTTTTATCTTCATACAAATCACCTGGAGTTGACCAGGAACTGAAATAAGACATTTAAACTAAGGAAACATTTAATGGCAGAACCGCCAATGGTAAATAACCACCTTCATTTTGGATTTGCTAGCTCAACAAAGCATCTTTTGCAAAGTCAGCCACCCATTCATTTTCTCTAAAGCAGCCACAGTGACTTTACATTCCATAAACGTCACAGATTAACTTGTTTAAGTATCAAGAGCCTTCAGGCCAGAAAGGCTGATCCTAACAGAATGATGGTTTATTTAAGCAGGAGGGTCTATCCATGGTGCTGAAGCAGGGTTAGAGGGGTAAAGGTCATGTTAGAAGCCGACCTCAGTGTTGAAACTGATCCGTTTGAAATCACAGTAAATGTTAAATGTCATCTCAGCTAATTTTCTTCCCTCTTTTAGTGACGAAAGGTTAGAGGAACTACTAAACTTTTTTTTCCTTCTTTACAGTAAACTCTCCCCCAGGATAATGTGGTTTCTTTACCCTCCAGCGCCAAGGAATCCAATGGTAAAGAGAAGCCTTTGAATAAGTCAGCTTCTGTATACATACCGCACATTCAGCCAGCTCACAACCAAGAAAAAAGACCCTCAGCAAATGTAAAAAGCTAAACAAGCTGGTCACTGTTGAGACTCCGTTAGCTTAAGGCCTGTGTTGATGCAGCAACAAGCTGTTTTCTATAATATGCAAAAAAATATATATATATGGAAAGGATCCACATGACCTTTAAGAAAGAGCATATTAAATGACCATTTAGTAGTCGTGCACCATAAACCTCTCAACCACTGATTTAAGGATGGTGGTAGTCATTTATTTTGCATGATACTGATGAGCCTTCCATCTATAGTTCACTCACCAGATGATACACCCATATGTTTTTTTTCCCATATTTGTATTCTAATCTTATTTTATTCCAGATATAAGTCCTAGATTTAGATCTCATTTAATTAAAGTATTGTTTCTAGATGTTTGCATTACTTGCTCATCTAATTTACTCGTACTATGTGAATGTTATTCACTAAAAACTGAAGCAAATTCCTTGTATTGCATCTGATTACATTATAAATAAAAAATGATTACATTATAAATAAAAAATGTAATCAATAAAAGCCATTGATGTGGCGAAAATGCTTTTGTAAGCAATATTGTAAACACTTTAAAAATGTGTTGCTTGTGGTTTTTATACTGATCAACACAAGTCAGCTGAACTGGCACATAACACAAAGGGCATTCCTGTTGCTATCAAGGCTAAAATATCAACATATGATTAAAGAGAGGAATAGAAAAAAGGGGAGGGCAGTGGAAAGAAAGATTGAGACAGAAAATTCCATCTTCCTCCTCCCCCTGTAATTGTAAACACAAGAGTGGGGAAAGTTTCCCTCTCAGCATTCAGACCTACAGTTTAATCGTCAGCAATCCATGAAATCATCCTCCACATGATATATTGAAACATATATGACTAAATGCTGCATCATATTCATTCATATGGCTCAGTGAGTGGACTTACCGACGTCTGAGTGGCAGAACGCCTCCTGAGGATGCGCTGGGGAGCAGCTGCAGGCTTCTGCTACCTCTTCCCCCCGCCACAGAAACAGGATGGCCAGAGTCACAAAACAACTGTTCGCCGTCCAGGTCATCTTAAAAAGCAGTTTGATTCAAAGTAGTGGAAGAAAACGTGAAAGAACCCTTTGAAGACCAGCTTAAGCGAGAAGTATCCCCGTGAATAACAGACGGTCCAGTAGTCAGAGTATGAGATGCACACGGCATGAGAGGGAGTTCATTCCTGTTGAAGAGTGCACTCGGAGACTTCTTCCTCCAAATCTGTTTTCCACTACCGTCAGGAGCAGCCGGGTTTATCACTGCAGGCTGGCGGCAGACTCCTCCCCTGCTGGGGGCTCAGCCAGTGAGCTGCTGCCGCTCTGTGGAGGTCAGGGGCTCCCAAAGTGTTCACATCCACCCGCGAACCCGTCACTTTCTGACACAATAGCTACTGTCGCATGGAGGGGTGGGACACACGCACACACGCACACACGCGCGCACACACACACACACACACACACACACACACACACACACACACACACACACACACACACACACACACACACGCATTTGTCTTCTCTTTTCATGGAAAGTTTTATGTCATTTCCCTAAACCAGTGGTGGTGAGCCAACCTTTTCACTGGTGATGGCCACATACAGGAAAACATACGTAGGGCTGGGCCACTCACTAGAGTTATTTCCTCATAATAAGTTAAGGTATAAGTTAGCAAAATCAATAAAATGTTGGTATAAGCTTGAAACTTGAATATGCTCTAAGAAACAGCCTTCATCACAGTGTTCCATAGGGTTTTATTTATTTTGTTACAAAAAGTGTTGGCAGCTCATTCCTAAGGGGAAATATGAAGGGTATATTTCAAGTTTGTTATACAAATATCAACTAAGATTTGTTGCAACATTTTATCAATCTTAATTTATTTGAAAAGTCGGCTTATTATGACTTGAATACTACTGTGTTATGTTTTCATATATATGTTTAAGAAGTACAATATAAGAAAAGCACAAGTTTCAGGTGTGGGCCATATTCCATTATGCTTTTAGAATTTAGCTGAGGGCCATTTCAAATGTCGCAGTTGGCCCCCAGGCCGTAGTTTGGACACCCTGCTATAAACCATAACCTCAGCCTTAACCTTGAGTTTTACTCAAATCTAAACCTAAAATAAGAATAACGATATTTAAAGGACACCTATCATGCTATATTTGAACAATATAGGGCCATACATATAAAGTATATAAATATAGTTTTTTTTTTCAAAATACCAAACAGATCCTGCATTTTAGCCATGCCTCATTTCGCTCCATTTTGCTCTTTCCAGCCCTGTTTTTGCAGGGGGCTGATTCTGTGAGCTGCAGCTGACCACGCCCCCCCTGCAGGAGAGGGGAGCGTGCTCTGATCAGCTGCTGGGCTGTCAGAAGAGGGGGGGATCTCCGTCCTCCGTGTTTTATTATATTATTATATAGAGTCGTTATTCATTTGTTTTAAAGCTCAATAAATAACAAAGAAGACCTTTGACCGGCACTTTTCTAATTTTGTCCGGAAGATTTCAACTTTAACGAACATCTTGACCGGCAAAAAAAAAACCTAACTGAAACTCTGCCGCACGGTCCCCTCGTTCCTTGGAAGAGGCGGAGAGGTGGGTGTTTGTCATCTGCTGGTGGACTAACCGGAGAGAATTACAGTGCTTGCCTCGACGGGGAGGGATTGCATTGAATTACAGCAGCAAGAGCAAACGCTTGCCTCGGGGAGGGAGAAAAAGAGCCACAGCGGAGAATAAACAGAAGGGCAACCATGGCAACCATGCGTGGGAAGTCTTCTTCGCTGCTTTTGTGGCAGACTACAGCGCCACTTACAGGCCTGGCATATGTACTACAGCGTCTCCAGCGCTTTCAAGCGGCAATGGCCGGCCGTGGCCCAACCCCACATTCCCCTGATAGGTGGAGAGTTGGCCATATAGCATATAATAGCCCTAGCGCCACCGTCCTGACGTCAGTAACGTGTTCAAATCTGGATCAGTCTGTATCAGATCCGTTGCAGCCCCGTTTTTAGAGATTTGGGTATGGAGGAAAATAGAGAGGGTTGTGTTTTCTGACACTTGGTGAGTTCCCTGGAACACCGGGGACACATATTCATGTATAAAAGACGTACAAAAGTGCATTTTGCATGATAGGTCCCCTTTAAATATAATGTGAAAATAACTTGTAATATATAAACCTAACCGGTCTCCCTTGAAAAAGAGATCAATGATCTCAATGGGATACACCTGGATAAATAAAGGTTTGAAATGAAATGAAATGAAAGAAGACATGACCTAACGGCTTGGAAAACTAGAGTCATTATGGCTGGTGTTTCCCTATCTTAGGTTATTATCTTGGTGAGCAGAAAAAAGTCAGCAGACAACTATGTTGGGCTTTTGCCAACCCAAAAATGGAAGGGAAAGTTATATCTCCAGTCCTGTATCATATATATTTAGACCATGAGTGTACTGTATATGTTGATTGGGCGTGCGTGTGTGTGCGTGTGTGTGTGTGTGTGTGTGTGTGTGTGTGTGTGTGTGTGTGTGTGTGTGTGTGTGTGTGTGTGTGTGTGTGTGTGTGTGTGTGTGTGTGTGTGTGTGTGTCACCAAGTCAGAGGGGTCACCAGGATTCCTTTTCTTGAAGCCATGAACATAGACACAACATCTAAAGTAATGCTTAGACATTTTTCCTAAATATAATTAGTTGTATTATGGCCAAGAGTACACAAAAATGATTATCTCCTATTTTTGTAATGGAAATGTAAGATTGAAACATAGCCTGTCAAAAAAGTAACAACATGTCTACCAGCACCTCCAAAGCACACTAGTAAACACATCTTGAAAACTATCGTGTTTGTTTAAAACATACAAAAGAAAAAATTAAAAACACCAATACTGTTTTGAGAGTGTTTTTTATTGGACTATTTTTAGAAACAGTTTGATAAATTGTGTTACAAGTGTTAACATTCCTGTATTCCTCTAATGTAAATAAGATAGTAGCTGTGAGGCTGAACTGCTTTGGACTGACCTCTATCTGACCCTCAACCTAAGGCCACACTGTGGTAACTGTGACCTTACGATACGATACTTTTTACAACATCGGTTCAGCTGTGATTCATCTTCTTCCCTTTCTTCGACTTTACTCAATGGTTTTGAAATGTCCTATGTACCTCAAACCCTGCAATAAATGATTGTTTTGGCCACTTAGCAACAGCAAAAGCACAAAACACAGCAATTACATAAGGTCAGACTTTAAGAGGATGTGGTGAACTTTCTAACCCTTTCATTCTTACAAATCCAGCAGGTATGAAGCAACATTATAATTCATGTGTAGCGGCACATTTACAATCAACAGTCTGTTTAGGGTCTCTACCAACTTCAGAGGGAAACATTTATCTCTTTAGCGGCTAAGTGTTTACTTTAGCTTGTTGCTAAATCTGTCTGTGTGCTGATTGTTGCTGAGCAGGTAGCATACTGTGGGTTTTTAGAGTTTATTTATGGAGAACTTGGGCCGAAAATGGCGCTATGAGAGATTGAAACACAACAGTAAGATGTGGGCTGGAAAGCTAAACAATGAGTAGAAATGGTTTAAAGCTAATGTTAAGCCAATGGGAGCTGCACATTCAGTTGATATGTTATTTGATAAATTGTCACTTTAAAGATGATTACAGGCATTGAAACCTTTCAAGCTAATTCAAATTAACTTCTTAAATAATACTGATGTGGATCCAGGGTCATCATCAGCCCATGCCTATAACCCAGTTATATGTGTTGTTTTCATTCAGTGAGAATGAATGCACAGTCAGTTTCAGGCACTACTAAAAGACTGTAACAGATGAAAATACCAAGAGAAACAGGAGTGAAGGAGGAGTGGGGAGAAGTGACATCATCCCCTTAAACTTAATAGATTCAATCTGGGGGCGATTCCCCTAAACGTAGGCTACTTAAATCCCTCCACTCTTCTGTGAAAGAAACATTATTCAAGAGTCAAATTCTTTAGTTGTTTCTCATCCCTTACTCATGAGCATAACTTGATGGCTCCTCTGTTGGAAAGTTAGGAAAAAGATCTGGGTTTTGGGTCCTCCCGTGTTGATTCTGGCTAGAAATAAGACATCAAAGTGAGGGCATTGTGTGTGTGATGATTAGAGCTGATGATAATTAATGGAGAGAGAGATAAAGAGAGAAAGAGAGAGGAAGAGAGAGTATGTGTGTATATCTGCTGTGGCTGCTTCACTGCCTTACATCATATTTGGCCACAAACTGTCTTCTGGCCACTCTGGCAAATATTTCCACTCTTTTCCATAGTTGAGCATTTTTGCTTGGTTGCTTTTCCACAGTTCTGTTACTTCATGTTTGTGTAAACCAGGCATGGAGACAGTCGGAGCACCGAGGAAAATGGTAAAACCAACTTGTAATGACTCATGTACTCGGCGTGTTTAAGGAAAATTCAGACTTTTATTTTCCCTATTTTTGGGAAAATTCCCAATTTCATTAGAAGCATGACTCTCAATCAAAGGGGAAGTTACTGAACACATGGACGACAACACAACTGCAGGGTGTGGATCAGAGACCAAGACACATTACAGGAAGTGACACATCTATTACCAAATGAGTAGAAATAAGCTTCCATTTATTTTCAGTTTACCAAAGGCACCAGAGGAATCGCAGACGCCTGTGTCTGGGCGAAGCCTGCCTCCCCCTGTCCAAAACACTCAGCTTCCTTTGCACTAAGATGCCGACTGCTGTGGCGGGCTCTGATCAAATCCCGGCCGTGTCCCCAGCTCCTGGGCATATTTCAAATGACTTCACAGCTTGACAATTCTTTGCTATTTCCCACACTGCAAACTCTCCCTTTAGAACAGGGAGTTCTCGGCAGTTAAGGTCCGGATTATTGTATCAACATGTGGTTTTGATATGTTGAAAGAGGGTGGATTTATCAAAGAAGTGCAATGTAAGCATCCCCCTGTGTACTTTACCCACTACAAACTCCAAAAGGGGCTCAGGAATGGCCTGAACCTCCATGCTTTAAATTACAGACTTGCAAGGCCAGAAATACCCTTAAAAGGAAGTGCCCGGCAAGACGGAAAAATAGGGTCTCATTGCGGGAACTGGTGGGTGCTGTGGCAGTGACCCACATCCTTTGACTCCCACCTCCCCAGCCCTGTTGCCTGCACACATCCCACATTATCTGACCAAAATGTAACTTCTCCACTATCTGAATGTACGCCTTCTCCCCGTAACCGTTTTGTTTTGATGTGACCCAGCCTCGACCCAGGGGTAATTCCC